GTGTGTTTGTTTTCCTCTTAAACAGAGAAAATCCCCTTACGTAAAGGAATCAAAGGTAAGGCAGAAGGACACGCCACAGCCCCTGGGAGCCACTAACGAGGGTGTGGAAGCACGTGGTGAGGCAAGCATGACCCCCTCACCCCTGCCGCGGCGGTGGATTTCTAGATTCAGAGAGGACAACCTTCCCTGGCATGCTTAAACCACTCCTAATCTGCTTTAGGACTGGATCTTTTATAAACACCCCCAGCCAAAGCCCTTTTCTTCCGGTTTCCTGAACTGCTTCACCTCAGAGGCCCTGGGGGAACCTGTGGCTATAGCGAGGGATCAAAAACTAAGCAGGGGGCTACAGGGAAGGCAGCTCATGGGCCCATTGGAATAGGTGTTTCATTCCAGACCAGACTGACTACCAATGAACGGGATAATGGGCGACCCGTAAAGCCATTTAAGCCCAGAGGGGGAGCGGGGGTGTGAAGGGAAGGGTTTCATTCTGAGATGCTCCCAAGCAAAGAGCAGTAAATGATGAGCAAAATAAAGCTGCTGAAGAACATCAGTTCAAGAAGAGACATGAGAACTGGAAATTGGAGGGGAGAAGGTAAACCCCATGGGGCTGGGCCCTGTCCCACCACGGCTAACACCACCCTTCTTAGCTCTGACCGTGAGCCAGTTGCAACGGTGACTTTGGGCATTTTTCCTACTCAAGGCCACTTAGAAACATCCCAAATCAGACTATGCACTGTGACAAACCCCAGATGCAAAGCTCTGGGAGGACGAGAAGCAGCAGCAAGGGCGCTTGTCGGCATTCATCCGCAGCTCTGCCACCCCTTGCTCTCCCCACAAGGTGAGCTCGCTGCTTCTGCTCTGCTCCACAAGTTGCTCCACAGCTCTTTCCCCAGCAAACCTGAACCCCTGTCCCCCAGACCAGGTTTTCCTTATTCATCGGTGCCCCCCTCCAAGCAGCAGCTCACAGCTTCACAGAGGTCCAAGGGCCACAGAGCGGAAACAACCACCCTTGTCAGCACCAGGGGGGTCGGCTGGAACAAGGTCTCCTCTGTTTCCTGGTCACCAGTTGACGTTTCCCACTAAGCCCCCACTCTTAAACCTTTCCACAAAAGCCCATAAAAGCCCTTGGGGCACAGGATTTTGCCTTGGCTGTGCTGTGAGGCACCCAGCCCTCTTCCTCTCCCTCCATCGGTCAGGTTGCAAAAACCCTGGCTACGCTGCCTTCCGCTTTGCGTTGCCGGCTTTCAGGCAGGCTCCACCGAAGCATTTTCCTCCGTTCCTCTTAACCACTCCGTCTTTTGGCACAACAAACAGGTCTGAAAGAGGATCAGGGACTTAAGCATCAGCTCAAGCTTGTGATGCAACAGCCGAGCTGTGTGGAGAAGCTGGCCCTGGAAGGGTGCAAGGATGCCACCGGGCAGGGCCAAGGCCACTGGCGGCTTTACCAGGCTGGTGTTTGCTGGGGAAGCCAAGCTGCAGAGAAGCCGGTGTGGCACGGAGGACTAGCCTTGCTACAGCATTCACAAGCCTCCTCCTCCAGAAACCTGTGCCGCAGTGGCCACCGCAGCTTGGCAGAGAGATTATCCGCCAGGGTGAGCAAGAAAAAAAAGAATGGCTGGCATGTGACACCCACCTTCCCATCGTTGTATTTTAAGATTAAAGCCAGTGGAGGATGAGCAAACAACTCTCTAAAGAAAACCCATGAAGGACAGGAAACAAAACGTCACATTTTTCTTTATTAGAGACAACAGTCAGTAGATCGGAGTCTGTGTAAATCTTCCAGAGCAGCTTGACAGTGGATGGCTTTCTTCCAGGCACCCACAGAGATGACGAAGCTCCAAAAACAAATCAAAGAGAAAAAAAAACCAAAACCAAAACAAACACCTCGATCATAAATTAATGCCCTTAAATAACTTCTCTCACTACTACTACTAATGTAACGACAGAGAGGTCAAACCCCTTGCCTCCAAGAGGCACGCCGCTGCCGGCAGCCGTGCGGCCCGCTGACTGTGAGAGTGCCACCTGCACTCTGGGATCAGCCCACGGGGGTGGAGGGAGAAGAGAGAAGGAAGGAGGGAAGCAGCAGCCTCACTTACCTCGGTTTTCCTTCCCCTCCTCCTTCCCTTGTGCTGGGCAATGGGCTGTCAGAGGCTGCTGCTGGCTGGCCCAGAGGCAGCTCGACATGGAGGTACAGGGAGGAGAGCAGGGGGTGGCAACACTATTCACGCATGGCACTCAAAATCTCCAAGCCTCTGCCTACAGGCCATGTCTTCCTCTCTCCCCCAGGCTTCCTGTCCCTCCTCTCTAGTTTAAGGCTGGGATATCTCCTCTGCGGTTCCACATCCTCACGAAGCACATTTTGTTATTAGGAGCTGTTAAGAGGGGAAAATGATGGAAAGGAAATGTGCGTGGCTTTGCTGTTATGCCCAGGAACCCGTCTGCCTCAGACAAGTACGTTCACCTCCACATCTCTGCTGAGTACGAGGGCTCCTTCCTGAGCCAGGTCCTTCCCACGGGGAAGGGCAGAGCCACAGCCTTTGGGATTCCAGCCCTGGGGTGCAGCTATGGGAGCATGCAGACAGCGCCAGTTGTGCAGGAGCCAAAGGACCATGGAGAGGATGGCAGCTGGGGGAAGAGACTTCCAAAACTCTGCAGCAGCAGAGTGTGCCAGGCAACTGCTTCCCCCAGGCCCTGCTTTGAGAGCTTCCCCCAGCCCCTTGGATGGGGGGTGATCACACCCCACGTACCACCACCAGTCCTAGGCATCAGTTCGAACTCGCTCCTATTTCTTAAAACCAGTGGCATGGAGAGCTGGGAGCAGTGGGAGCGATCATCCTACAAAAATCGGTCCTGCAGCCCATGGGGACAGATGGAAGAGACAGGGGAAGCTTAGAACACACCAGAGAATGGGAAGCTTGAAGACAGAGAGCAGTGGGGTGAAGAGAACAGTGCTGGTGCTAGCACCTTCCCATAGCACAAGGGGAGGGGCTGTTCCTGCCATCCGCAGTCATCTCCAGATGTTTAACTGGCTTCCATGTGCCAGGGGGGAGCAGTGTATCCCACACACTCAGCAGTGTCCTGTCTGCACAAGGGGTCATGTCGGGGTGTGGCAGGGGATTTTCCTCCCCACACCTCAGTACCCGAGTCGGGCAGCAGAAGTCTCCGGAGGGAACCGGAATCTCCAGGCAAATAAGCAAGGGAAGAGAGAGGAACGCAGAGGTTGGTGCCGATCCAAGCAGCCACCCCCACCCAAAGCAGAGGAGGCATCCCAGGCTGGACAGACACAGAAAGTCACGGAGGATGAATCGCCATGTGAAATATGCGGTTTTATAACAGTCTGCTAAGTCCCTCCTCTGGCCACGCCGGCACAGTCAGGCATCATCAATGAGCTTTTCACCATTTGCGTCCTCCTTCCCGCTACCCTCTCTCTCGCTTCCTCCTTCTTCTTCTTCTGCCCCGTCTGTGTATGTGTCCTTCTGCCCATAGTTGAGTGTAGTGCGGGCAAGGTCCACCTCAATGGGAAAGACATCCGCATCTCGGAGCACGGCATAGCAGTCATCATAGTACTTGGACATTGTAGAGACAAAACGCTGGAGCTGGAACACGATGTCCTGCACTGTAGTAGAGACAAATTGGGGACAAATCAGGTGAAACCCACCTTCACAAGCAGGGCATGAAGGCTGAGATCAAGCCCCCCTCGCCAGTATTAGCCAGAGTCTCCTATGCATTAACCCCTTTTGGCCTCTGAGGGTGGATGTCTCGGGTTCTTCAGCAAAGACTTCAGAGCTGAGATGGAAGAGGAACACAAAGGCCAAGGCCATGTCTGCCTGACCCCTTCAGGTGCTAGACACAGCAGTGGTACTCACCATGTTTCTGGTCCAGGAGCTCTATTTTCTCTAGCACGTCCTTCCTCATCTTGGCAAAGCGCGTGCGAGCCTCCTGCCGGCAACGTAGAATAAGGCGATATTCATAGTTCCCAGTGCTGACCCGGTAGAGGGGTTCACCCAGAGCCTGCCAAAAACACGGCACCATTTTAGAGACTTCCACAACAGTGCTTGTACACAGAGTTTGCCTACTGGTGTGGATTCATGATGACCTTGGGTTATTACAGCCCTCTCAAGCGCACTGGAACTGCAGTCAGGAAGCATGAAACATTAGGAACGCTGAGCCACATCAACAAACTGGCAGTCACCAGGGCCATTCTGAAGGCCAAATACACACCAACCATGGTAAAGAAAAACATCGCTGTTAAGCAAAGACAGAAGGACGGGCGCCTTTCAAGCCAGCTTCTGGAATGGCTTCTTATCTGAACTATTAAGACAGGCGCTATAAACAAAGAAGTCTAGGGTCTGAGGGACATACTAATTTATATCAATCACACAAAAAATTCTGCCCTCCTCTGCAAGCTTCACCCTATATGGATTGTGTAACATATTACACATCTACACAGGGAACCCTGCTGTATCTACAACCAGCCGGACACAATGCTGGAAACCAGTAGGGAAGGACCTATACGTTGTCCCACGAAATTGTTTTGAGAGAAAGGGCTTAGATCTCTCAGCAAACCAGCATTGTTCTCTTGCACTTGTAAACATAACATCCATAAAAATCCCTGTTATGGACTACGGCTTGGTAACGCACGCACGCTGCGTGCACCAAAGCCCAACGGTGTTACTCTGCTGGGCAAGACTGGGACTCTTTTCTTCCCATTTAGCAGGAAGGATATAATTCATGTTGTGTTAGGAAAGTTTTATTCTTCCTGGCACTGGGATTTGGGCATTCCAAAAATTCAAATCCCTGCCCTAAGATCAATATGTAGGCTAAAACAAGATCTTACTTTTATGCAGGGAAACTGGGCACGCAAGGGACACCTTTAGTTATCTTAAACAGAGCTGTTATGGATTAGTTGTAAAACTCTAAGCCAGACAGAAAACTGTTAGTGGAGAATGTTGCCAGTTTTTAAGTCTTCTGATTTTAAATTACCTATTTTTAGGAACCCTATTGTTAAGAGAGATCCTTTATCAATTATCCTCAACTACAAATGCAGCTTTCACATGCATTTTGCTAGAGAAGCTAAACCTCCATTTCTCAGAAACAAATCCAGAATTAATGATAAGCTGTACGCTACACACAAATGGAATCTGTGAAGATAACACCCTAATCCTCCTTACACAAGCTAATATTACTTAAACACTGAGACAGGCAACCACCGAGCAAACGAGCTGCAGAGATGTCTGGTCCCTCTACTATTCCACAGCACCAGTGATTCATGACAGTTATTGGCAGTGCTTCTTAGGTAGCGCTCAAGTATCTCCAATTTCTAATATGTTAAGAACAAACGTGCGTAATCCTGAGGATGCATTCGCTAGTCTGGGTGCACACAGGCACAGGAGCGCTTTTGCAGTTACAAGGCAGCGCGCACGGGGAAGCTGCAGAAACAGAGCGTGCAGTTGTCATTGACACGGAATTGATACTCACAATGCAGCTGTACTCTTCGTCATCCATCTCTTTGACTTTCAGGCAGTAAGACTTTGTAGGATTGGAAAAAAAAAAAGCAAAAGCAAAACAAGAAGGAAATATTAAGAATTAGAAGCAATTTCATTATCACACATAGCCATAGGGTTGTACCATTTCAAATCCTCCTTCAATGCTGCAGTTAGGGACACTGGGGAAAGCACAGTGGGATCAGAGTATATTAAATATCCCAGGTGGAAAGAAAATCTATTTAGAGAAAGTTGTGGAGAGAAAATGGTGGGGGAGAGAGAAGGCGCTTATTATTTATATTACAGGAGCAAATACTTCAGATAAGTATATCCTAAGTAAGAGAAAAATCCTGCATTCATCTACTACTTGGGAAAACACAGCACCACAAAAGTATGAGGCGGCAATAAATAAAGAGGGGGGGGGAAAATATGAACTGTGGGAAGGATTGATGTGGGAAGAGATGCTGCCATATTCACTTGCCTTAGGGCTGCAGCTCCAAATACTTCTCTAAACTGGTAGAAAGAAACACATTCCTACAGTTATAGAACAGATGCACTTCGCAACCCTACCCTATTTTTGGGGGTGTAGAAAACAAGGTGTGAATGGAATGGAGAAGGGGGGAAAAAAGCATGGTCTAAATGAAAATAAACATGATTTGGCAGTGGTTTAATGTGGCTATAGAAAGACCATCCAAAACTACCTGAAAAATGGGGACTCTGAGGCTGGTGAGCTATTTAGGGGAGTTCCAGAGTATAAATTGCATAGGAACTCTTCACAAATAAATAAGAAAATTAATTTAGTCACGTAGAGAATAAGTCATCTGGGTTCTGGGAGATCTCTCTTACCAGTGAGAACTATTGCGTCAAAAGCAGGTGTCTGAATCTGAGTAATCTGGCAACAGACAAAGAATTGGAAAAAATAATGCAGTCTTGCATGGATTGTGGAAGGATGGGCATGGAATTGTATAGGCTGTATGTCACCCTCACTATAGGATTCTAGGAAACTTAATTTCAACGAGGACTAAAAAAAAAACAATAACCAAAAAAGTGGCTCACCAAATATTCAAACTTTACATCCAGGTATTTTTTGATAGTCAGCCTTGTGTCAGGAATGGCTTTATTCAGATACGTATTCAAGTCAGTTAGCATCTGCAAGGGAAACATCCTGTTGCTGAATCTAAGACCGAAAAGCATGACTACAATTCCTCAAGTGCAACTTTCTAACCAGCACAGGTCATGAGACTGCCTCGAGTTAAGTCTTTTTAACTACAGCATATCCGAAAGAGAATATTTGATCTTGACTCAGAATTGCCATGGTGAGAGCACCCATTAGTCACTGGCAAGTGGTTCCAGCGTTAGAAATGCACACCTCACTTCTAGTCTCAATTTGTCTTCTTTCAAATAACTTTGTTTCATTTTCAACTAGTCCTGGGAACCGCTC